CACTCTGTAGGGACAAAACATTAAACTCTCTCCTCAGCTGCAAGACTGACTCTGTTAAAAAACAAGCAAGAAAGTCATTTTGTTTACCCAGAACACGCAAAGCCACGTGCACAGCAACAGGGACAGGCTGGGAGGGAAACTGATCCATCAGCTCAACCAGGGACCCGAGGAAGGAGAGCCAAGCCACCCCCTGCCAGGGGAGAGCACAGCTCAGTGTGGGCACAAGAACAATGTCATCATCCCTTCTCTAAGTTTATTTTCCTCCACAGTTTTATGAAGGAAACTTCTCAGAAGGATTTGGGAAGTGCAGGCAGGTTAAACACCCTCACAGCTGCCTTCACCTGTCACTTCATGAGCCCTGAGCAAGGCTCCCAGCACCACCCTCCCCTAGGATCCCTGTCAGCCTCGCTGTACCCTGTGCTTTGCCCCATTTGGTGCTGCTCTATTAATCACAGAGAGGCAGAAGATAAACCCAAGCATGTCTGTTATTACTATTATTATTATTACTTTTATCATGATCGTTCAAGGGACATTTGTTTGATAGTCAGAACTACATTTAAGAGCTTTTTGATAACTGTGCCACCTCCATTTCCATTAATCATCCTAAAAGCAACAGTAAAAGTAGATGAACTGCAGCAAAAATTTCTTCTACTTCAGCAACCCAAGTTAAGGATCTTCCCTCAGTCCCTTGGCAATTCCCACCCTTCACCCCACAGGACCAGCTTCACTCTGGGAAAACACAGGCAGTAGGTGACCCATTTGTTTGGAATCTGGAGTGAACAAAGATATGGTTGGACTGAAGGTTCTGCACCACAGAAGTACAGGGTAATTATGAATGCACAGAGCAGAGGCAGCTTTGGAGATGAGTATTAGGCTGCCACAGGCTTTTTCATTCCTGATCCACTGCCTGGATCAGGGAAACACTGACATAAGTAGAATCATGGAATGGTTTGGGTTGGAAGGGAACTTGAAGACCATCTTGTTCTGCTCCCTGCCATGGTCAGGCACATCTCCCACTAGTCCAGGTTGCTCCAAGCCCCATCCAGCCTGGCCTGGAACACTCCCAGGGATGGAGTAGCCACAGCTTCTCTGGGCAACCTGTGCCAGTGCCTCAGCACCTCACAGGGAGGAATTCCTTCCCAGTATCCCATCCAACCCCAGGCAGTGCCAGCCCCTGATGGCACAGCCCCAGCCCCTGGGTGACACTCACCACATGGCATGCATGTAGGTGGGGGGGAGCCGAGGGCTGCTCACGGGGGTGCAGTTGTAGGACCTCATGATCCTCTCTGCCAGGAGGAAGTTACGGAACAAACTGGCCACGAGCAGGTCCTGCCGGAAGAGCTTCTGGAAAAGATCTGCCAAGAGATCGCAGGGATTACCAAGTGCATATCTTCGGAGCTTCAGCAGCTTAGGGAATATACAAAAATGGTTTAAAACATCAAAACACTTTAGTATTTTATTCCAGTAACAAGCAATCTGCAGCAGTTTTACAGGGAAGGATATGAGAACTGTTACAGGGAAATTCTGCCTTCAGAGCTCCCTCAGAGCAAGGAACCTACTCCCCATTCTACCTTAACACACAACACTCTCTGCCTCAGGTTCTATTTGCCTTTTCTGGATCAAATCCCCTTTTTGTGTGTCACTTCAGCTCAGCCTGACTAAGTTTTTGGAAAATTACTGAGGGAGAACAGGACCTCTGTGTACTGTTTAATCAAGGACTATCCATCTGTTAACTGGCAGTTTGATGTGCTTATGAGAAGCCAAAATGAATCCTAACAGATAGCAAATGTGCTCTCTTCTACAGAGCAGAGAAGAACTGATGCCGGATGAGCATTAGGAGGAGCAGGGTTGGAGAACTGTTTACAAATCTGGCTGCCTGTGCTCCAGAAGTACCAATTCTGAGCAGAACAGGGGCAGAGAAATGGGCTGAGGTTACTCATGGGAAACACAACTGCCTTACTGGCAAAGAGGAAAAAAACCCTTTATTTATGGTACCAAGCAAGGCTGGAAGAAAACAGATTGTTCTTTACAAATACAGTAAGAAAGAGCATTATTCAAGCCAAAACAATTGTGTTAGCACGGAAAAAAAACACCTTTCTGGGCGTTAAGGAGGTTGCTGCAATGCTCTGGTAAAAGAACAAATACAACATTAACCAGCCTTGAGACTCAGCCTGATCTGTTCTTCCACTGTCAGGGTCTCATTTGTCTGACTCTTCATCTCTTGCTCTGTCTGAGCCACACTCACTGCTACTGCACAGCTGCACCCAACTCACCTCTGGGCAGGACGTTCCACGCGATGGTATCTGTGATCGCTGTGAAAATCCAGTTCAGCTCTCCCAGGGGAGTTCTCCTGTCATTCAGCCTTCCAGGAATCCTACAAGTGGGGGGGAAAAAAACAAGTACATTTCCTAAATAAGCCCCTTTTCTTATTTTTTTTTTTAAGAGATATACACATGAACATGCCTAAATGCTTCCAAGTGGGATCTAGAGATAAAGGAGCTCTTTGCTGTAATGTTTTCATGTTATATGAACACGAAGTAGGAAATAGAGAAACAAAAGCCAAACCACTCCAAAAAAACCCCAGCTGAGCTGGGAGAGTCCCAAGCAGGCAAGGATGGCAATGGACAGGGAACCAGGCTCGGATCTGTGTCACAGAGAGAGAGCAGTGGGCAGAGGAGATTCAGCCTTGCCTGCTGAGGTTGATATTGGAGTGTTTTGCCAAGTATTCCCATTCTGGCATTCATCTAAACAGTGTCAAAACAGGACATACAGAATATAGAGGATGCAGTAAAAGCTTTAAAAACTGATTCACTGTCACAGAGTGAGAAATTTAAGGTCATTCCATCCACCCTTCCAAGCAACAATGGGAACATTGTGGATAAACACCTACAAGAGAGAAATCTGGTGCCAACAAATACTCTGCACAAGAGGAGGAAGAAAGAAAGAAGAGCACTTGACCATTGAAAGAAAGGGAAGTGATTCAAACCCTCATTCTTCAAAGGGTCAAGGCACACATGTTCTAGAGGAGCATGAGTTGTGTGACTCTTCTGAGAGCAGCCTAGTGACATTCTGCACCCTGAGACACACAAAAGGTCAGACAGGATGAACTAAAGGGTCTGCTCTGGGCACCACATTTATTACTCCCAGCATCAACACCCCAGAGACAACAGCCTGGTCAAAGCACACTGAGTGAAGGAGGAACAGCAATGTCCCACCAGGAATTTTGCTCTTCCAGGGCACGGGATGTTGGTTTTGTCAACTGACAAAAGTCACTCGAATTAATTTCATCCTGGAGCTGAACTTCTCCTAGGAGAAGAAACCAGAGGACCAACAGGCAACCTGATTTCTGTGCTGGAAGAACCCAAGTGACAGCCTAGCATGACTCAGATGAACATACACACACACACCCACCACAAAGGGAAGACAAGTGGCTGTGAACTGCTGTTCTCTATCCTCAGCTTCTGCCTCCATCCTGAGCAGCTTTCCTGAACAAGCCTTTGAATGTTTGAACAAAAAAACACAACCACCCAACAAACCAAGACCAACACACTCATTCCTGGGCTGCCTCCTGATCAATCAGATCTGCAGTATAAATATCCATCCAGCACTCCCAAGCACAGCTCTTCTGGTGAGGTAGTATCAGCAACAGGACAAGGAAGTTTCAGAAACATACACTGACCCAAGTAAGACATCCTATGGATCTGATCCTAATTTAACCCAATTTCCCTTCTGTAACAAGTTTTCAAACACTAAAAGCACCAAGACAGAGAAGTTTCTCTCTGCCCTCTCACTCCTGACACGCACCAGCACAATCCCTGAGCAGGTTCAGATGCAGCACATTCCCTTGTACAAACACAGTTCTAAACCAGCCAGAAATTAACATCTTATAGAAAATTCCTGTCTGTCTTGAAATCAGAGGGAAAACACACGTCTCTGGAGCAGTGTTTGCTAACGGATCCCCTGGAGCAAGCAGAGGCAACACGAGGCCACACAGGGCTCTGGTGAGGATTCCCGTCAATATTTGCATTGCAGAACACCCCGTGCAGCATTCCCCAAGCCAGAGGGGGCTAGGGAGAATCCAAAGGGATCCTTGCTGAGCTTCCCTGGCACGAGGAACACTCAGCTCCCACCGTGGGATGGCCACTTGCAGGGCAGTTTGCAGCAGAACAGCCATCGGGTGTGTGTTGGTGGAGTAGGAATCTCCACACCAGATGGAGAGAGCTGTGCTAAATCCTCTGTTATTAAACACAGGCTGAGCCGACCTGGAGCTCTGGGAAGGCTTTGAGTGGGAAGGACAGGCTGAAATCCAGCCCTGCTGCCAGCATCCTGGCCAGAGAACGCTCCTGGCTCCAACACCTGCTGTCCTGGGGAGCAGCTCTGCTCTTGTTAATCTGTTTAAAGACTTCAAACAGCTACTCACTGACAGAATATAGATTTTACTTGGATTTTAAAATGCACTTGGTATTTTGTTCCACAATACAACTGTCCCTCCTCAGACTGGATGCAGGATCCATAGGAAAAAGCTGCCTGAAAGGGAGAGAGCAGAAATTAATGGGATGGCATTCCCACATCCTGGGTGGCATCAGGTGAGTTAATTTTCTTCCTTCCTCCCCTACAGCCAGGGAGATCCTAATCCTGCACCTGGCTCCAGCAATGTGGGATTCCTGCAGCTCAGAGCTCTGCCAGCCTCAGCACTGGGTGGGATTGGAGGGGGCAGTGCATGTGGAACAGCACGGGACGGAAGGCAACGCATTGCGTAACAGAGCTCTGGGATTTGGGACTGGCACTAGGAAGGAGCAGTAAGAAGGGAACTGGCAGCAGGGACGTTCCAGGAATCAATCAGTGGGTCAATCAGTACTGAAAATCAGCAGGTGGAAATAAGCACCAGGAATTTTGTGTGCCATGATGGGAATACTCCAACTGGCATCCCAGGAAGCAGAGGAGAGTCCATAACAAGCTGAGTGATCCCGGGAAGAGGTTTTCACACAGTATCACTCAGTAACAGATCTTAATCATTGTTGAGCATCAGCCAAAGCTTCCCCAGGCAGGAGCAGCATTGGGCACTCTGGGGCTACACTCAGACACTCTCCAGAGGCTGCAGTGACCCTGCTGAGTCCCAAGGAACACATCAGCCAAACCCCATCTCCATGTGCCCAGCCAGGAGCTGCATCACAGCATGGCCTGGGAATCACCACCAGCAATCCCACAGCCCCCAACAGTCCCTGGGAAGGCACAGGACACACAGAAATCTCCCACTGGTTCCTCCCACAGTCATAAAGATTTGTCTGAAATAATCATAGAATCATTTAGGTTGGAAAGTGACAGGACAAGAGGAAACGCCTCAAGCTGTGCCAGGGGAGGTTCAGGTTGGACATCAGGAGGAATTTCTCCATGGAAAGGGCTGTCAGGCATTGGAAGGGGGTACTCAGAGAGGTGGTGGAGTCACCATCCCTGGAGGTGTTCCAGGAATGACTGGACATGGCACTCAGTGCTCTGGTGGTGATGGGTCACAGGTTGGACTTGGTGGTCTCAGAGGTCTTGTCTTTTCCAACTGATTCTGCAATTCCATGTGAAATCTCCTGGCAAGAGCTGCTCAGACGGGATCACCACAGTTCCTGTGCTCAAAGACAACACATCCCCCCCATGAAACCCCAGGGATGATCCAGGTGTGCCATGCCTGGACTGAGGAAACCTCAGCAAAGCACTTGAGAAAGACAAAACATTTGAGGTTCTTCACAGATCTGTTGGAGAGCTGCAAAGCTCTGCCATGTGAAATCTCCTGGCAAGAGCTGCTCAGACGGGATCACCACAGTTCCTGTGCTCAAAGACAACACATCCCCCCCATGAAACCCCAGGGATGATCCAGGTGTGCCATGCCTGGACTGAGGAAACCTCAGCAAAGCACTTGAGAAAGACAAAACATTTGAGGTTCTTCACAGATCTGTTGGAGAGCTGCAAAGCTCTGCACACCCGTGTGTGATCCCATCAGCTCCCTGTGTGAGCACATGAAAGGAGTGTTGCCATGAAAACCATCCCTTGAGCAGGATCTTCTCTCTGCATTCACAATAGGCTGTGCCTACACCAGGCTGAGACCCCGTAACGACGGTGAGGCAATGACACACTCCACTGCCATCACACCTGACCGACCGCAAAACAAAAACTTCTCAGCACGACATCTTCAAAAGCAAAGTTCTTCCTCAGCTCAAGCACCACTGAGGGACGTTCCCCACGGGCAGTGTGGCACAGCAGCTCTGCTACACCAACAGCACTGGCTGAAACACTGAAAGAAGCTCTGACGTCTTCCACTGAGTTTTCTAGAAGGAAACGAAGGGGCTGGAGCTGCCTGGGCTAGGTCTAAAGGCAAACTAGGAGTTATCATAATCCCACTATAAATAAAATAATAAGCATTAAATAAAAAGGCTGCAGCATTGCAGAGTCTGGACCAGCACATGGCTGATTAACCATCTGCAGTGACACCTACATGATGCAGCTGTGCCACCCCAGCACTGCTGCAGGAGCCACAGCCCTGTCAGCACCCAACAGGCACTAAAACACTAACGATGTGACATTCAACAGTGCTTCAAGTCAAGCAAAAACTAATTTTAGCCTCAAATTCATTATTTCTAGTGACGGTTATGGATGTTGTGCTGGTGAGTGACAGCCTGGTGTGGGCTCTGCTCTCCCAGCCACAGCACCTCATCACAGAGCTGCTGTGCCACCTGTCCTGGCAGTGAGGGGCCAGGCTGCCCTGCAGGGACAGCCACACAGAGCTGTGGGGCCAGCCACGGGTGTCTGCTCACTGTCACAGTGTCTAAGGGGCCCCACCAGCAGCAGGAAAAGCTCCCAGGGCTTTATTTTCTCCCCTTCTCAGGAGATTTTTGTTTAGAGAATTCCCTTCTTCTGCACAATGGACCTAGGGAAAAGATGCCAGGGATGCAGCATACCATTCCTGGTGCCCTGAGAAGGGGATTTCAAGAGAGGGAGCCCAGTGCAGCCACAGAGACCAAAGCATCCTTGTACATCCCCAATTAATCTAGCCCTGTGGGTTCATTCCCATAAAACATTCCTTAGGGTTTCTTCCCAAATTGTTCAAGAGCAGAACAAAGCTCAGTTCATGCCACTCATCAGCCAGAGCCCCAGCACAGATTCTGGATGCCCTGGGATCAGACAGGAAAGTCCACCCGAGGCAGCAGGAGCACTGACAGTGACACTGCCCACAAAGAGCCTCGTGAAGCAGCAGCCAGAGGCTCCCAAATTCCCAGTACTCCTCCCACAACATTTTCCTTCTTTTCCCCTTTATGACTCGCTGCAGCAAAGATCTTTATTTCTAAGCTAGGGATTATTGTGGCTTCATGTGAGAAGATCTGTGACACAAATGCACATCAGGACCCACCACACGTCCCTCCATCAGGTCTGGGGCTGAGCCTGGATAATTGGAAACTGGAGCCCTTCAGAGAAGGAGCAGCTTAATTTAGCCTCAAAGTCTGCAGCTTAATTGCAATATAAACTCTTCCCCCAGTTCTAAAGACAACTAAATTATAAATGACAATATACACAGAGGCAATCCAGGAATTATTCCAGGTCTGTCTCCAGACTGTAATAAAAAAATGTGTTTTCTATAATTGATATATGGAGCAGATTAAGATGATGAGGTTTAAATATTTGATATCCATGGGAAGCTGCTCCTGGCACACTTTCCCTGAGGACAGCCTGTAACCCACACACGTGTGCTGTGGCACTAACAATACTGCAGCAAAGTCTGTTTTTGCTAGTAAACTTTCATTTAAAGACTATCTAACCCTTAGCAGCACATCCAAGTGCTTGGTGAGGCTGATTCTGAGCTGCCTGGCTCAGACCTTCATCGACCTCACCACATGTTCTTTGATGAGACACTCTCCTAGCGATGTTAATTGCAATTAACATAACTCACTCCTTATTCTCACCACACTTATGCAGTGGCCTGAGGTGATCTGAGTCCATGCTGGTGGCAGCCCATCCGTTCTCCTCCTCACATCCCCAGACCCTGTCAGCATTCAGCCATAACAGGGTTAACCCCAGGAACATTTCCTTCCTGCTTCTCATTCCTGAAAACCCAAAGAAACCCAAACCCCAGCACATTTCCACCACAGCTCTCAGAGGAAATTATACCCATGGCAGATCCTTTCCTCGACTGATGTCTCTGCAATCTGCTCTGACACTTCCTCTGACAGACAGGGTCTGTCTCTGCTCTTTTAGCTGGGAACTGAACATTCTTTTTGGACCCAGGAGTGGCTCTGACCTACAGCTTACATGAACCACTGCTTACCCACCCCAGCTGAGAGGAGATAACCTACCTGTCCCACATAAAACCAGTGTGATTAAACACCTCAGCACCACTGCTGAGCCTGGCTGCTCCAACACACCTCTGTGCAAGAGCTGGCAGCAGCGAGGAGCATTTTGAAGCTCATCTGAATGTGAAATATGCAAAGAGATCAAGAAATTGGAGCTGATGTCATTGAGCTGATGCTCATGGGTAAGATCTACCCCTGTTGCTGCTGCAATAAGCTGCTAAGGGCAGCATGAGTGATCCCTGCACTCCCACACACCGTGCAGCAGCTTATCAAACACCACAGAACTATGGGGATACTTTCCTATTAAGAAATTACACTTATTACCCAGATTCCTGTTCTCCCAACCCCTTCAGGACACCAGTTTCACCTCATACACAAGGTAACTGCAGCCTGGACACCCACAGGTCACCAGAGTTGTGATTAACCCCAACAACAGTGTTTCTAGAGTCAGAATGCCTCAGAGCTGAATGAAGATCTTTCCTTAATCACTCCCAGTTTGTGTGTGTATCACTATCCCAAAACAGGGCATGAAAACCAATGCACAGGCAGCACACTGCTCCTGGATCCAGAGGCTGCACACACCTGCTGCCCTGTCCTGGGGAATACACTTCCCTTCAAAAGAAATAAAAATACAACCTTAAAACCCAGCAAAGACTACAGAGAACAATTATCATCTCAGTCTATCTTGTACAGACTGCAGTAGAGTTTGAAGAACACTTGCCCTGGTTAATCAGTTTGCCTCAGCTGCCTGACAACCAGGAATTATGCTCCAATATCGCTTGGAAAAAAGGATTATCACATGTTTCAGAGGTGTAAAATCTGAAATACAACAGCTCTGTCAGACAGAGAACAGGAGACAGCACAGAGATGAGGGGTTTGGCTGCTTTGCTGTCCATCAGTTGGGTGTGAGGATGTGAGTGGCACAGCTCAACTCTACCAGGGGCAAAGCCTCACCCAAACCAGCCACACTCAGGACCTTCCAGGAACACCACAACCATTTATCCAGCTGGACTGGGCTGGCAGCACATTCCAGGACATGACACACACCAAGCCAAGCCCTGCACAGTTGTATTGTCCCAAGCAGCTCCTCACCTTCGTGGCACTGCTGGTTTCAGCAGCACATGGCAAGGCAAGAATAACCAATACTGCAGATGCAGACTTTGAACAGCTTTCCAGAGAAATTCCCTCACAGCCAAACCCGAGAAATGCTAGAAAAAATGAGGAAATTAAGAGCAACAGGGAAAAATTAAGAGCAACGGGGGAAAAAAAAAAGAATACGTATAAAATTTGGCTTACTTCTCTATTAAATCCAGCGTGACTCCTGGCACCAGCCTGACACTCTTCTGCATGCAGAACCTGGGGAGAGAGAACAAAATCAACCACACTAATTGAGTGTTTAATGACAAGCTTCTGCAGAGAGAACCTGGAAGGAGGTTTCTTTATTGCACTGTTTCTGCCTTTAAAATGGTGTTTGGGTGGAAAACTTTGGCACAGCATCATCAGCCCCAACCAGGGCCCTCAGTGTTTGTCACACTCGTGATTAGGTGGTGATTTCCCTTGTCAGGCATCACACCTGGGGCATTGTAGCTGTCACAGTGACAAGTTTTCCAGCACAGAGAGGGGAAAAGGGCTCCCAGGCATCCAGCAGGGTCCCCTGGGAGCAGCACACAGGCACGAGCAGGAGGATTGTGCTGCTGAAATGATGATCAGGGCTGGCTGGGCTTCCCTGGGGAGAGCTGGCACTATAGGCAGGGAAGGAATGGGAAGGATGCAGCAGGTTTGGACACCTCTATTGCTTAATTAACGATCTGCTGACTCCATTTCTCAGCCCTACAAATCCCACTGCTCCAGGAATACCAGCCCTGGAAAGGGCTGAGTCCTGTCAGCTCTGCCACTGGAAAACCCCAAAGCCACTAAGCCCAAGAGCGTGTGGGAAGGGGAGACACTGCCAGCCCTGACTCCAGGTGCCCATCTCCCTCCACAAACCTCCTGGAACACGCTTTGTGGAACAGTAGTAGGAACAACAGCTCTGGGATGAAAATATACCTAATTCCACTTGAGCAGTGACTTGCTCAGTGGCAGCACCACATTCCCAGCCCATTGTCCCAGTCCTTCAGGAATCCTCTCTCTGCTGTTTAAGGAAGAATTTACCCCTCAGTGTAATCACAGTTGATATTTATCCTAACACTTCACTCTGCACAGAGCTCTGAGGGCAGTGTGGGACCAGGAGGGACCACGAAGGTCCATGGGGACTTCATGGGACCACAGGGACACTGTGGGCAGTGTGGGACCACAAAGGCTCCATGGGCAGTCCAGGACCAGGAGGGCTCAGCTGTACACCACTCCCACCTCCCTCATCCAACTGCTGCAGCAGCATCCTCTGCTCTCACCAGTCACATTATGCACATCCAAAAGGCTCTCCCCCAAGTAAAGCAGAGAACAATTAATTGCTTATTAAAAACAAGATGTGCAGAGCTCATTTCTGCAATCTTGAGGACCCTCCAATGTTCCTGTGGCATCCCCAGCCTGCAGGGCATCCACTGCAGCCACGGAGAGGGATAGGCTCTGGGAAGCTCAGTGGTCCCCAGGCTGCTTTCCTGCTGTGTGCGTCATGCAGCATAACAAGCAAGCCATAAAGCAGCCCCTGAACCTGCAAAGGGATCCCTGTGCAATCTACTGGAATATAAAATCCTTACGACAGTACATTACAGAGCCACCCGGGGAAATTCCCTCCTAAGCACTGGCACAGACAGGACTCAGCCAGCAGAACTGGGTCATTGGGATCAGCCCGAGCCTCCCTGCTCACAGGGGATGTGGACAGGCTCTGACTCCTCTGCTCCACAGCACAACGTGTCAGGAGGGACGACAGCAGCAGCACAACTTGCGCTGTCACACATCTGCTCTCCTAAAGGGTGTCCCTCAGTGTCCAAGGGCAGGTTGGACAGGGCTTGGAGCAAGCTGGGCTAGGGAAGGTGGAATGCAGAGGCTTCCCTCATGTTTATGGGAAGGAGCACATTGTATGATGCCTCAGTGTGGAGAGGCTGATCCAGAACAATCCCTCTGGTACCGTGTGCTTAAAACTGCAAGAGAGGAAGAAAGCCTTGAGCATCAGTAGGTTGTGGCTGCTCCATCCCTGGGAGTGTTCCAGGCCAGGATGGATGAGGCTTGGAGCAACCTGGGCTAGTGGCAAGTGTCCCTGTTTATGGCAGGGAGTGGGATGGGATGAGCTTTATGGTCCCTTCCAACCCAAACCATTCCCTGATTCTAATCCCTGTTGCAGGTAAAGCCCCCCTCACTGCCCTGGGTACTTGGAAAAGGATGAGTGCATGACACCTCCATTCAGGCAGGAGCAGACTGTCTGCATTGCCTCTCCAGGAGCCACTGACTGCCAAGAAAATGTACTCATAAACAACATGTTCCTCAGCCTGTGTCTGCACCCCCTTCATCCCCAAGAGGCTCTGAGCGTGGTGTCTCCAGTGAGGGCTGATCTCACTGCCACAGACAGCAGGTGACATAGGTCAGAGCTGCATGGACACAGCTCAGGGAATGCCAGGGAACTCAGGAATGCAGGTAATGATGCTCAGGTGTCACAGGGATATTCTGAAACTCAGTGCAATCTGTCTAAATCAGTGTAGGATAGAGGATTGGCTGAGTTAACCCCCAAAATCTCCAGCAGAAATGCAAAATAAATACATTTAAAAAGACCCAAACCACTTTAAACCTTTGTTTGAACCAGCCCAACAGATCATCAGCTGCCACAGCTCCAGTCCCTTTCCTGTACCCTTTTCCATGCCCTTCCAGCTTGCTGCATGTGTGTTCTGGAGTAGAAACTGCACATTGCAGATTCCCAAGCCTGAGCAGCTCCCAAGCTCTTTGTGTCTCATTGTCTGGGGCTTTTCCAGCACTTCTCAGGAGCCCTATCACTCACTATGAGCAGGACTTCATGGCTCAAAGCCACAAGGCTCTTAAGTCCAGCACAACCTTCATCCCAAGGTGTGCAATTCCGGATCCCTGACTGCAGCTGTTTTCCCCTTACAGGAGTGATGGTTAACACCAGCACATGACTCACCACTAAGCACAACTTCCACTAGAGCTGCTCTTGCTTTAGACAACGTGAAACACTCAGATCTGCGTAAAACAGGGCATCAAACACTCTGATTTCTGCCTCTTTCCTCAGCATCCACATCCGCTGGCCGACAGTGCTATCCGTCAGGATTACCAATCCCTGCGGCTCAGCTCCAAGCTTGCTCATGTGGAGCTATAGATAGTGACAAGATATATTTGGAATACGTCAGCTCACAGCAGTCACTACACACGAGGGCAATCAGCATCCAGGCAGGCAGGATTCACACTCCATGCTCCTGGAATTATACTATCATTGTATGTTAAGGGGTTGGAATGGAGTTTAGAGATCATCCAGTCCCACTCCCCTGCCCTGGGCAGGGACACCTCCCACCACAGCAGGTTGCTCAAGGCTTTATCCAACCTGGCTTTGAACACTGCCAGGGTTGGGGCAGCCACAGCCTCTCTGGGCAACCTGGGCCAGTGTCTCACCACCCTCACAGGAAAAACTTCTGCCTAAGATCTCATCTCAATTTCCCTCTTTCAATTTCTCCCCTTGTCCTGTCACTGCAGTTCCTAACCAAGAGTCCCTCTGCAGCTTCCCTGGAGCCCCTCTGGATCCTGGAAGGCTGCAATGAGACTTAGCAACCTCTGCAATTGCAGACTGGCACTGGGAGCTCCGTGCCCCACTGCCATAAGGAAACATCTGACCTGTGTTTCTCTCCCCAGCATCAAGCTTTCTTCCCCTGAAATGAGACTGAAGAGACTGCAGCTGCAGCCCCAACTGATGAGGGATTTTGCCCATCAGTTCCTTCACTACAGAGCACAAAATGGGATGCATAAACATTTATTCATCCAGCTTTTATTTGCCCATAAATTCGGTGTATGAACCTCATTATCCTGCCAGTCTGGAACTGCAGAAATGGTGTATTTCACAGTCAGTTCCTCAGGGTTCTGGGTCAGCTCTGGGAACAGGCCAGCCTGAAGGGAAAGGGAAGGTTTAACAGCAAAGATTTCTGTGTTTGTCTTTGGTTAACAGCTTTAGGACATCAACACCCAGTTTGGATCAAACTCTGGGAATGCAGCAGAGGGTTTGGCTTTGCATATATTATGTTTAATAGCAGTGAAAACTAAGGATCCACGAGCAGCACTTCTTACTTTCAGGATTGCATGGATAAAGCCACACCTGCAACAATGCCAATCAGCTGGGGACAGAAAAGGAGCACAATCCTCATCAGAGCATAGACGTTTGTGTGTGTGTGCAGGGACAGACACACAATCACTGGATCAGAGGTGGGAGGAAAAGCTTCCCTACCCAGGAGCTCCCATGGCACCTTTCAGTCTCAGCCTTGAGCAGCTGAGGCTGAGGGTTAAATCCTTCCCTGTTTTGTGCTTTACAAACACAACTCCTGTCAGACACCAACCAGACACAACTCAGGGAGGCTCTGCTGCTCGTGGCAGGTGTAGCTCTGCTGAGAATATGCCCTGCTCACCCCCTCAGCCACGTTCCCATGGAGATGAGGGAACAGAAGATTCCTGAGCAGATCATAATATCCAAAATAAACCCCTTTCTGAGTGTATCTAACAAACAAAACCCACCAAAAACACCTCTTACAGAGCATCAGCATTCCCACTTCAAATCTGGCAGAAGCTGTGAAGTTTGGTAAGTGAAGGGAAGAGAACCCCGAAACCAGTTCACTTCCAAAGTTCCAGTTTGCCATGAGCCAGTTCATACCCAACAGGCACCAAAGCCCAGGACAGGGATTGTCCCAAATTTGAATCAATAAAAGCAGTTCCCTGCAAGCCTATTTTCCTGGTTACAACCCACAGCATTTCTCCAAGTTCCCCTAAAGAACTTCACCAGTGCTTACCAACTCCTGTGAGGAAACACCCTGGGAGCTTGGGCCACCAAAACGGGGACAGAAAACTCAGCAGGCTTTGTGCTGTCCCTCACACAGCAAAGGGAGTCAAAGCACCACAGACCCAAAACAGAATTGGTCAGAGGAACTGCTCAGTCTGTTGTTCATACAAGCCAGAAGGGGTATAAAGAATTGGAATTTATCACAAGTATCTGCAAAAGGCAGTGAATAACTCTTGGAGTTGTGGCGAGAATTCCTCACCACCTTCTGCACTGTGTTGGCTTCTGCCTGTTCTAATCCAGCCCAGCAAATGCCCTGGAGGTTTCCATGCTGGACCACACTCAGCCTGGAGAGGATCAGGTGAAAAGTGCTGAGGGAGAGATTACCAGAGCTCTGTACATCCTGGGGGCCCAGAGCTCCTCACTAGGCACCACAGCCCTTGTGCTCCCTGCCCTGGGGTAAAATACTGCTCTTGGAAAGCTCCTGCTCCCTGGAACAGCCTTTTATAAGTTTCTGCCTAATTAACTTGGAGTGTCACTCCAGAAGATCTTCCCCTGGTTTATGGCTCTGCTCCTTCCACTCCAGCACTATTTACTGCTGCTGCAATATTTACAGCAGTTGCAGCATTTGGGATATGATTTGTGCAAAGGACAATTTACAAAAGGTTCTATTGCACTGTGTAC